AACTGAACAGTTTTCTCTGGAATTTGAGTGAGCTGAATAGCAGGAAAGCAAAAATAAGAAATTTAAAGACAGGCTTATTCAACGCCAATAACTAAACAAATTTGGAAGATTACGCCTCATATGGTTAGTTAATGGAGCAAGATTCAGACCAAAAGCTCCTTGTTTATAGGTTTGTTACAACGAATTCTTTTGTACTATACTTGAATGGGCACAAAATTATTTGACCCAATTCACTGTGCAGACGCGGATGGCGTACAATCTCTTGATATTACAAAAATATGCACGAGTTGAAACTATATCTGTAGCGAGTACCCACTGTTTTCAATCCTCATGTACTGTTGTTTTTCTTTTTTTTTTAACCTTACTTTAGTTTTGCACCCGCTTGGCACGCTACATTCTACACAATAATCAACAAACATAAAAATGATAAAGGATGTGTATTTCATTCTCCCAGTTGGAAGCGGGCCGCTATAGAAAGGGATTGCTTCGAAGGAATTGTGGTAGGTATCTGAGAGGATGTTACTGATCCAGCATTTGCCTGTTGCTATGAGAAAACTTCTAAAAAACTCACAGCAGGCCAGGCGACCGTGAGGATCGATCCAACGACCTTCTGAATGCGAGACAGATGTGTTACTACAATAAACATCAGCTATCAAGTCATGAGGTCCGAGGCTAATTGGAAGACTTTATGCGGATCATCCATTGAACGGTCATTTGTTTGTTGGAACGCCTTTAATCTACTGCACAAGACCATGACAGTAAAATGTACGATTTTTCACTGTGTTGGAACAAACCTAATAACACTTAGTGTAGAACCAGAGCAGACCACATAGAAGATACATACATGAAATGGCCATTTATATTTTTCAATAGTTTAAAATGTTTTAAAAAATATCTGATGTGTCTTAACACCCAATGCATAACCTCCATGTAAAGTTATCAAATATATTGAGTATGGCTCATCTAATCAAAAGAGTTTAGACTATAAATTAAAAATAACATTTTTTCACACATTTAAAATAAATTAAATTTTTTTCACTTTTCCTAAAATGTCTACATTACGGTCCATTTTAGAGATATCATATATAACAAGAATGATAGAAAATGACTTCACAAACAACTCTTACTGAAATAATTTTCTTTTTTAATCATAAATAACAAAAATATACCGAAATATGCCCCGCTATAAATTACACTCGCAGATGGCCCGACTGCCTAAAATCTCATTAGCTCACCATAAGTTTAAAATTTGGTGTTTTATCTTTATCCGTTTTTGAGTTATCGTGGGTAAAGACATCATCGTGAAAACAGTCAAAACCGATTCAAGGGAATCCCAAAACGTAAGGATCCATTAAAAAGTCGAGGCCGAAAAAAAATCATGTTACCTTATACTTTCCTTACTGGTTACAGGAAAATAAAAATCAATTAAAATGTGGTCTTCAAACTTTCTATTTCTTGTTTTTGGATTTATTAGATTCGGTATCTCCATATTAGAAAACCGTATACAGGATGAGATTTTAAATATGAATCCCATTAAAATTGTTTTGGATAACTTCATAATCCACAGAAAAATTAGCAAGGCATGAGATGTGACACTTTTAAAAGTAATTTGATATTCCTCTTAAAGGACCTTATATAAGATATGTGTACATAAAACTGCATCATAAGGGGACCTATAACATGTGATTTTATAAAAAAAGTATGTAGTTGATTATAATTAATGGCGTCTACAAACTAACAGAAGTGATATAATATATGTATAGGTCAGTTGTTTCCTCAAAATGTACATATATTTTAGTATGTACAATAAAATCTTTATTATTAATTAATTGTATTGTATTCAAAGAACGTCTCAGTATTTTATTTATTGACAATTTAAACTTAATCATATCCCTCCAAAAGAACATAATAAATTGATAAAACTACCTTTGTTTTTAATTCAAAATTTGTGTGGTGATTAAACGAGAAAGATTCAAAATTTTTATTTATAGGTGAACAGTCGACAACAGACTATCCTTCTCGTGATGTAGAAGACGATGTGAGTTCTGTAAGTAGTTTTAGCTCAGCTAGTCGAGCTTCTCCGTTACCATATGGAGAGATGCTACTCCATTTTCCTGGAGATTCTAGTGGATCTGTTTAGAGATGTACCAGCAATAGTCCGGAAGCAGTCGTCTGTGATCACGTAGAAATTTCAAAACTGATGAATTATTCTGTTTTTATACACTATCCAAAATATATTTATTATATAACCCAAACGCGAATAAGCAAAAGAGAATGCTAAGCGATACAAGTGACAAGTACAAGTGACTCACCAACCTTTCTCGATATCTGACTAGAATATTAATTTTATGATAATTTAATGTTTTTAATATATCGGGTGTTTGCTAGAAAACTTCGGATTGGGGTAAAATTTAAGTTGAAATTTTGAATTTTTGGGTTACGAGACAGTGCGTAGGGGGACGAAATTTCATATATTTTTCATCCATGCGTAACTTGAGTTTTTGGAATGCATACAAATATCCTATTAAAATGTTAATTTAAAAATCTCAAAAAATATCCTATGTAACTTGTAACATTTTTAGTATGAATGAATACAAAAAATGTGCTCTATATATTTTGGAACTTGATATAGAAGATTTATTTACTTATTCTCCGTATTTTGTCAATTTGCTTTTTTATTTCTTGCGATAAACGATTCACACGATTTATAGTATGGTTTGTCGTTTTACTGGTCGGGTTAATTTTTGCCTTGGTTAGTATTTTCTCTATGAGCATGCAGATTTATTGTATGAGAAACAGTAAACCATAACGAGCCTCATACTCGTATCTTTCGGCTTCTTCCATGAGGTTTTCCTCAATTTTCAGAATCTGTTTTGCCAGCAAATTTCTCTTTTTCTTCTCGAAATTGTATGTACCAGTTTGGACCATTCACAACCTTTTTAAGTTTGATCATCTTATCCCACAGACATTTATGTTTATTGAACAAACATAATATTTATTGATTTTCTTCGGCATATAACCTCCATTTCTCTAGTTGTACTTTATGCAGTTCCATAAAATGTTTTGTATAGCAATCTGAATTAAAAAATCAGAAATATTTTTCACTGGTTCTGAACAGTTCTTGTCAGAGTTTATTAATAAAAACATAAATATTAGCTTTCTTTAACAGCATCATACATCTTTGTGGCTCTTTTCTAAGAGCTTCCAAGGTCTTTTTTTACCTGTGTATTTTTTATGAAATTGCTCTTTAGATAAATTGTTCGATTTTGTTCCTTAACGTGCCTATTTCTTCCTTGGCGTTTCCTAATTATTTTTGTATCTTATTGTGGAACTTATCTCTCATATTACTATCGGTGACATCTTTTTCAAATTTGCTACTGGGAATATAATCCAAGTCAGTCACTATTTCTGTAAATATTTTCTTTGATTGTATGAAATTTTTCCTTGCGATTTAATTTTTTTTATTCTAGTTGCTCTGTGTATGCTTGAATGTCGTCTAATTCAGTAGAAGGTGGTAAATAATTGTCATTGAAAAACCTTGGTTCCCTTTCAAGTGAAGTACACAGCTTTAATTGCTTTTAATAAAATTCATTTGTTTGGCTCGCATCTATATTTTTTCTAGCCTAGATCATACAGAATGGCTATATAGCTAATCTTCGCCTTTTCAGGACAAATGCTGTAGATACATTTGTTAAATAAATACGTTTTGTTCAGAACAAGGAAAAAAACTGAACATGATTAGTTAATGTCATACTGAGAAGTCAGTGTGGGCAAGATATACCAATCAATGTATATATAATCTTTTTATTTTGATACTTTGACATTTTGCATCTTGGTGACTATTGGACTTTTTTATTTTTAGTTTTGTCCAATTTAATTTCATTATATTTTGGTTTGCAAAATCATTTATTAATATTTGTTAGGATACGAAACCCTATTCGTATCCTACATTTGAATTATTTCTATAATAGTGTCAACGACGGTCCTGCGTGAACTTTGGCAAAAATTCAAGACTCCAACTTAAATTTAACCAGAAATAAAGTCATCCGAAGTTCTCATAGAATTATTGTTATATTTTCATAGCAACATAACATACATAAATAATCTTGACAAAAGAGCTTGAAATTATTTGAACTGTATTGGACAAGTAACAGATACACCTGCATTTTACAAAATTTCACAATGGCAGTTGCACAACGCATTTATTTTCTATTTTGCTTTCAAACTATAAAGATGTTTTTAATTTCCTTAGAATTAGTTTTAATTTATTGCTATTGATATTAGGTATTACATTTTTAAATTAAATATGTATTTGATGCCCAGGACTCCGTTTATATCACAATTCTGTATTGTGGCTCTTTACTGGTGTCAATTTTCATATATTTTATATTTTAAACGGGAAAGAAACTCATTTTAATGGTTTCCCCATTTGATACATGTGTTTTCTGTTAACATTTGGATTTTTTAACTTCTCAATCTATCGTTTTTGAAGATTCCAAATTTAAATAATTGGCTAATTATTGAAAGCATTTAAAGAACTGATATTCCTGTCATATCTAAAACGTATTTGTCAAAGAAAACTTTTACAAGTAATATAAGACTATTTTAATTTTATACAGAATAAAATAATTTTTCGTTACCTATAATTCATCGTTTCGTTTTGAGATTTCTTCGGATTTGTAGCTTTTCTCCTGATTGGAACCTACAGAACTTTTTTTTTTATTTCATTTTAGTGAAAAAATGTAATAACAGTTATGTGATTTTTAGGAACATTTATTATGTGATACGTATGAAAATTTATTACTTTTTCTAATTATATTTTTTCTAGGACAATTGATATTAAAAATTTATACAAACATGCAAATCTGTGTCTAAATATTTTATAATTCCTTCTAACAACTCATATGAAATGAACAAACGTAATTTCAGAGATCAATTCAAATAATAACTCAATAATAGTTTTATTCAAATTCAAAATAAATTTAGCAACATTTTTAATCTTACGTACAACTTGTCACATATTTAATTATGCCTTCTGGATATTGGGCGTTTGCTAACGTGTACGGGAATTTTTCCATTCCATTACAAGCAGCTCCGACATTTCCTTTTTTATCTACTACAACTAAGCCTCCAAAAAACTTTGGATACTTCTGTGAAATACGGGACATTACCATCGTCGCAGCTTTTTGGGCTGAAATACCATCTCTTAACTTTTCAACCGCTAAAAAACTGATAACGAAATGTATGATTTATAAAATTATCTATTCAAAAAATTACCTATACCTACAATAATAATTACTAACCTTGGTAAAAATCTCATCATGAGATCACCATCCCCTGTTGCAACTGCTGCTCCCACATCACTGTCTGCATAAGCACCTGCACCAGGTATTGGTGAATCTCCAACCCTCCTGAAAGGAAAATATACACTACAGTGTCAAATTTGTTGCGAAAAACTTCTATGAATTGTTTTCGTGAAACATGATTTTATTACTATTGACTTAAAATGCAATAAATTATTATTCACAAGCATCAAGACATTCTAGAGTCATCACTTAATTATCTATAGTCCACACACTACTTGATACGAGAGAAGGAACCCTAATGCATAGACTACGATATTTTGATATAAAAACACTGTCGATTTGTGACACGCATGCATGTTAAACTGGAGAAAATAAGTACTGTTTGTTAATTACCCAGGGATTTTAAACTTCGCACCATTGGTCGAAGTTCCTGCAACAATATGGCCGTTTCCTGAAATAACTATCATACCAATAGTGTCATGATTTCTTGAATTGTATTGGTTTGGTTGGTTTTTTAGTACTTCATTGAGGTACCTTTCTTCTTTAGCTTTGTACGGACCACAAGACGTTTTTGGGTCAGGTTCGACATTCTACAAAAAATTTAAAATTCACAAACAAAATTTGATATTGTTAATAAAAATATTTATTTTTATCACATAATTCAAACAGGTAATTGAGTTCTCAGTGGCCCAATGAGATCTAAAAGTGTCTGTTTTATAAATGAGCCCAACTAAATTTCAGGTTATACTATAACAAAATATATTTTTAATTATTTAAAATCAAGGAGTTCTTATCGGGAGTACAGCGTTAGTTTTATAGCCCTTATTTACTATCAAGTATTCAGCTCTTGTCTAATGTCATGCAGACAGCTATCGGCTGGCGGATTAGAAAGACCGAGGCACCTACTAAATTGAGGGGATGGTTTGTATAAGTTTGCGTGCGAACTAGCTTTTATACCAATGAACTTTAGTGGGGTAGAAGGCCAATGTGCATGTTGTGTCAATATGACGTGGTGATACTGTATGAGTGCAGCCGCATTTTTATTGTTCATTTCAACTGGACAGTATTTATAATAATGAACACTCCTTTTGTTTGTTCACTCACGTTACATAAAGCGTATATTTCTATAAATTATAAATTATTTTATTTTAAATTACTTAAAATTAAATTTTATTTTTTTTTTAAACTTTATACCATATTTGTATTTAAGATTTTGTGTAGGTGTATATATTTTAAGCATCTAATTTGTAATCTTCCTTTTCATTTTGACTTGCTACAACATTTTGTAAAGTAGTTAACTAAATATCTATGTATTATTTTTTTTTATTTTTTTAACTATTTTCTGTTTTACATTGTTATTGGTCCACAATGTGGTGGATCAGGATTGTTTGGAGTGAAATAGAAAATAGTTATTATAATTACTCCCGAGTGAGATGAAAAGTAAAATGGCTCCAGTTCATTGGCTTGTACAACTACGATTCCTGCTTTACATCATTGCCACACTGCAAAATAAATGGTGTATGTTCCTGTAAATCACACTGAGCTACAATAATAGTTGTAACCAGAACTTAAACAGATAGTAACTGGCAGTTATAATCCAACTATTCCTTAATTCAATTTTGACTGCCGTTTCAGAGTTTTAAAACCTTATGTTGAGTAAATTTCGAATTATAACCTTGTGACAAGACTCGCCCATAATAATTTGGCAACTGCGTGTGGATAACACCATGAATACGTGCAATTAGGTTTTTGTAAACGAAATTATTCTAGTAGTTGTTTGTCATTGGTTTTAATATAAACATTTTTAAATAGTTTAATCCTAAGAATTTAGCCATGAAAAATAATCTGAAGGTAAACGAATTAATAAAACATTAATATTTGGGACAAACTATTTTAGGTATTTGTAATACCTAATTAAAAGTAAGCTAGTTTAAATATAATTGATCGACTCGACCACACACTTTTAGTGCATAAACTCAAAAATTTTGGATTCGATCATAACTTATGCTAAGTTCGGGATGTGGACTCCTTTTACTCTTTTAACTCCATATCTAACTTCACATCACTGAATTACAATGATTTAGTATGGACTGAAGTTAGTTATGGAGTAAAAAGAGTCCACAGTCCGAACGCAGCATTTGTTACACTTATCTTTTCATATCTGAGTGATAGATATCAGAATGTAGAAATTAATGGATACAAATCATATTCTTTTAAATCAACTAGTGGAGCTCCTCAGGGAAGCAATCTTGCACCACTTTTATTCTCTATCTTTATTAATTATATTACGCAATGTATCTCTAGTAATTCTCTCCTATTTGCTGATGATTTAAAAATATATAGGATAATTAACTCAATTGATGACTGTTATCAACTGCAATCTGACATTGATTCTCTAAATCATTGGTGTAACAACAATAGATTGCCTCTAAACATAAGCAAATGTAATATGGTTACATATACTCTAAAAAATACTCCAATATTGTTTGATTACAAAATACAAAACATTAGTACCAACCGTCTTGTTAATTTCAAAGATCTAGGGGTCAATTTTGATTCAACAAACATATTGCTGATATATCTGCTGGGGCGTCAAAAATGTTAGGCTTTATTTACCGTTCTTGCAAAAATTTCAAAAATATTGATACCATCAAACTATTGTATTATAGCTACGTTAGATCAAAACTGGAATATTGTTCGATAATTTGGAACTCTTTTTATGCAGTTCAAATCCAGCAACTCGAAAATATACAACGGAAATTTGCAAAATATCTTATGTTAAAAAATGATGGGCTTTATCCTCCCCGTGGATACAATAACTCGCAGTTATTGAGTAAATTTGATTTACCAACGCTATTAGAGAGAAGATCTTATTTAATGTTAATATTTTTGTATAAGTTGCTAAATAATAGAATTGACTGCTCGGAAATATTAAATAAAATATGCTGGCGTATTCCGAACAAGAACACTAGATTAAGAACATTATTTTATCTCAACCAAAGTAATACCAATCTTATGTTAAAATCACCAATCTACAACATGTGTGAAACATATAATAATCTTGCCAGTTTCAATTATGATATTGATATATTTGGTATGACCTTACCCAAATTTATTAATTGTACTCGTCAATCATTGTTTCAATTTCATTGTTTTATAAATCATTTTTTCAATCATTGTTTTAATTGTATTGAAACAACATTGTTTACTTTATTTATAATTTATATAGATACTTTAATTATATGTTAATTGTATTGTCTTGTAAATGGGACTACCTGTTAGACAATAAAGCTTATTATTATTATTATAAATTAGATTCAATATCTCTACATAATTTTAGATTTGGAAGTAGTGTCCTATACGAGGTTTTTCCCAATGTAAAAAATTTTGATGTTTTTTAGGTATCTATAAAAAAAACTGTAGATACACACACCTTCCAAAAGTTAGGCTGGCAATTATTTTCTTTCCAATCACTCCATAAATTTAACGAAAAATTGGTTTCTAATGATTCTTCTATAAAACCAAATTTTTTAGCAAAATCAGTAGCCAAGCTTCCTGCTAAAAATGAATGTTCAGTATTCTCCAAAACATGCTTAGCTACATTTATAACATCTTTTATCTTTCGAAGGCCTCCTACAGCCCCCATATCCATAGTATTTCTAAAAACAACTGTTTATGTAAGTAAATGTATGCTATTAACAGGATGAAGATCAGGCAGGCAATCAAGTTCAAGAAAGTACAAAAAATAAAATGGGAGTCACAAATTGGAGAGAAACAGGAAAGGAATGGAGAAATTTATAAATACAATGAAAACTAATAAGAATTTTTAATGGGTGTGATAATATGAATAAATAAAGTAATCCATGGCCTAAAAAATAAGATATGAGGGATGGTTTTTAAAATATTTAGAATAAATGAAGTAGGGCCCATAATCTCTATTTCTAGAAATAGAGAAAAAATAAATATTTCTTGTATGGGATAGATTTGTAGTTTGGGCGGGTACTAAAACATATGTCTGTTGTTAGTGTTTAGACAAAGAAGACCAAGCAACGCCTTCTCGTAGGGTGGCGGCTTTGCTTCCACCAGAAAGTATCAACCCATATCTGGCTACGCCGACCAGCATAGACTCCAACGGCCTGGACACAGCTCAAATTGAAATGAAACACATTAGTGACTGTAGACAAACATTTTAGTACCCACCCAAACTACAAGTTTGTCAACTTTAGCAATGCTACTCCTGTGAAGAAGTATTTTTAATTATTGCTTTTGGTTTTTACCCATCAAATATCATAGCGTCCAAGGTTGTTTCTCCATTCTCATCAGGGGAACCCCCAAAACCAACTGTAGTGTCACATTGTTCATCTTGGCATGTTTTACATCCCACTGCTAGCGCTTCAACTGTCAAGTCTTGTTTATTTTTCTCACCTTCTGATAATACACTCCAAGCTACAAAAATTTTGATTGTACAAAAATTTTGAAAATATTTCAACTGTCACTAAACAGTTCTTACCTTCTTTAGTCGCATTTTGAAAGTTCCAAGTGTTTACAACCAGTGGCGTCGCTGCTAGAGAAGTTTCAAAAAGAACAAAAAATATAAAATATTTCATAGTTTTTAATTTAACCTGAAAAAAGAAAAAAAAATAATTTGTCAAAAGACGTCACCGACAACTGTTGCGTTTATCAACATCGGATGCGGATGAATCTGAGATGTAAAATCTATGGATGTAAATCTTTGATCACGTGATTCAAGATACGTAAATGTATGCCGCGTTTGAGAATACACATCGGATGCATTTTTTACATCTCGAGCGTTTTTTTATCCACATCGAACACATCTGTCCCATTACTTTTACGCTTTTACGTATACTGAATCACGTGATCAAAGATTTACTAGGTTTGTTCCCGAAGCGAGTTCCAAACTTGTTACGAACATTATCTGATACGCATGCGTGACCAGAATAATATTCAGAATGAGTTCCGAAAAAATGTGTGCTGGAACGTTAATAAAATAAATATGTGGCTGAGTGTTTTAACTAATTACAGGTCATTCGATATATTTATTAAAAAAAGAAGATTTTGAGGTTATGGAATAAAAACTATCCTATTATGATATATTTTTTTTGTTATAACGCTGTATAACATTTTTACTGTTCGAACTATTTTATAAATATGATGAATGCCTCAGTAAGTTATGGTAAGTTCAGATTAAAGAAATATTAAAAGATTTTTTATAATGTTGTATTGTAGATTTGGAAGAATTTTTGTCCTTTCCATCTGAACGTGCTTCAGCCACGGTTCCGTCTGTTGTCGAGTCGGAACAAATTATGTTTAATTCAAACATAGATTCAGAAAATCAATATATGCATTGGACAGATACAACCACTAATGCACTGATCCATGTATATAAAGAACACTATAAAAAAGTAGGGAAGTCAATCAAAAGCCAGAAGAAACTGTTTGAAATTATTGCAGACATTTTAAATAAAAGGTACAAGTTAACGTTGACAGGAGAAAGAGTCAGTAATAAATGGAAGACGTTAGAGAAAAGTTTTAAAAATGTTGTAGATAACAATAATAAAACAGGTAGAGGAAGAAAATTTTTTAAATTTGAAAAAGAAATGGAAGAAATATTTATAAAACAAAAGAAAATTAATCCGGATATTCTGTTGTCTGAAGACACGGTTGTTGATAATTCAACTGTTCGACAGGAATCTGAAAAGGAAAATGCTGTACCCAAAAATGAACAAGAAAAAAAAGACAAACCTACAAGGCTTGGTACCCAAAAAAGAAGTCGAACTGATGTATTAGACATTATTAGGCAAGATAGACTAAAATATAATAAAGAACAACTTTCAATTAAAAAGGAGAGACTTGCTATTGAAAAAGAGAAAATTGAAGAACAAAAAAGAAGGAATAATTTGCTAGAAGAAAGAAATCGATTAATAAAGGAATACTTAAAAATACCTAATGAAAGTCATTAAAATGTACCTTCATTATTTTTTGTTAAGTTTTTTTTTTTTCAGAATATGTTGTCTTCTGTTGTTTTTTAGAATATTTGTTCTTCAGTTTTTACAGAGTGTCCCAAAAAAGTAGGCCAATATATTAACCATAGATTCCTTAGGTCAGTGTAAGAAACCTTTATTTTTTCGATTGGGACCAACATCTTCAAAATACAGGGGAGGAAGACTTGCAACTGGCGCCCTCTATGAGGTAGGTTATATTTAGGCTCACAATATGATTTTTTATCAAAAAAAAAACCCCCGATGTACCAATTTTAAGCCATCTACTCAATAAAATGACGAAAATATAATAAAAAATTAATTTTAAAAAATTAACTTGGTCACCCTGTATATTTAACATGATGGCCCCAATCGAAAAAAATAATAGATGTCTCTTACACTGACCTAAGGAATCTATGGTCAACAGATTGGACTACTTTTTTGTAACATCCTGTATAGTTTTTAAGTTATTTGATTGTTTGTTTGTTGTACATACCTGTACTGAATACTATTTTGAATGTTTAAGAAGGAAAATAAAAGTCTGCTTGAAAAGTTTATTTCATTATTTAATTAAAACCAATTAATATAATCATAAATTTAAAGTTCTTAAAAGGTAATTACGATAAGCACTTCCTTCGGGAATATCTCTTTCTATATCTTCGTGATCATCTAAAGCCTGTTCTGGATCTATGTCTTCTGGTCCGGCATTATTTTCTTCTTCATGTATAATGAATTCATTTATTGATAGGTTATGAAGTACACAACAAGCTCGAATAAAATGTACAATGTCTGTAATTTTTTGTAGCTTGCAGTGAAATAATTGTCTGAACTTCTGTTTTAGGAGTCCAAAACAATGTTCAATAATAACTCTACAAACAGATAACTTTGTATTGAAAAGCCGTTGACGGCGGGTTAAGTTTCCGGTAGGTTATGCAATTCTCGAACTTGTCGGAATAGACATTCCCATGGAAATAATAGTTTCACGTATGTCTGATATTAAGTTCACGAATATTTCGAAATAACCAATAACATTAAAGATATAGAGAAAGTAAAAGTTGAAAAGTCTTTTGGTAGGTAGAGAGGGGGTAAACGTCAAACCACGTCGGGTGGCTCCGAGAACTTCACAGTAATGTTTACCTGCCAGTGTCGTTTCATAAAATAAGTAATTTTAAATTGTTATCGGCGGAACCGGACAATCGCATGTATTTATGGATTATAAATAATTATTAAACATGTATTATAATATTCAAATTATAATTTTACAAAATTTCAACAGCTATTCACAATTTATTAAACTATTTACTCGAAATTGTTATTAACATCTATAAAATAATTTTGTACGCCAATGTATCGCGTCCACTTCGGTGAGATCCGCTGGCAACCTGTCAATTTATGTGTATAAAGTGGGAGAACTGGCAAAAGCATTTCCAACTTTTACTTCTGTTCTACATCTCAGATGCATCCGATGTGGATTCTCAAACGCGGCATATATCAATGAATCGCAAAAAAATGCCTAAATCCTAACCTAAAAATAATTAATTAAAAACAAGTTATTTTCATAGATATATATCTATGGTTATTTTTTATGTTTTAAGTGTATATGTATTTGTAAAAAAGTTTAGTGTAGTTTACTTATGGAAAATCAAGAAAACTCACTTTCCTCTACCAGTGAAAGTCGAGACATAAACTACTATTCTGTTCTGCAATGCAATCAAAATTCAACCATCGACGAAATAAAGAGTAATTATCGATCTCTGATAAAAAAATTCCATCCAGATAAACAAAGTAAAGAACAATCTTATTCAGATGATAAATTTATCCACATTGATAAGGCCTATAAAACATTGAGTGACGAACAATTGCGTAAAGAATACGATGCTGTTTTACTTGAAAAAAGTTTTAACGAAAGTTCTTTGATTTATGCTGAATTAGAAAAAACGGGACTAGACTTTGATAGTGAAGGTGTTGCAGTTTTTCCTTGTAGATGTGGACAAAATATTGAAATTTATAAATCAGTTTTAGATGATGAAGAAAGCTTGATAGAATGTTCTGAATGCACAAATTGTGTTCTTATTAAATGATAGCACAATAATACACTTTGTACATTAATAATAGTTTGATATGTGCATCTACATAGTTGCAAAATGTTCAATAATTTTTATTTACTTGGATTAAAAATGAAATATTTACAAATATGGTGCCACCTTTTATTTGAAACTTGTAATTTTCACAATAGAAGTAAACAAAGTGTTGCCAGACTGGAGTAGAGATGGGTTGCTATTTCACAGTAACAGGTTTTGTCACTGCTTTTCTCTTGTCACTGGAGCAAAGTGCTCAGCTATGTCAAGCTAGCGGGCACTGTGGCGGCACCATACAAGACCTGGTGGGTTTTTTGTAGCTTTTTTGTTACGCTATTTGCGAATTTGTAGCTTTGCCCAGGTCCTAAAAAACAGCGGATCCCCTAGCTTGAATTTCCATAAATTCCATAGTAGCGGCACAGATTCAGACCCAGCTGGTTTTTCGTAACTTTTTTGTAGCTTTTTTGTTACGCTATCCTCCCTTTTGTAGCTTGTACTGAACCTGAGAAAAGCGCGGATCCGCTAGCTTAACGGATATTTGTAGCGGCACCAGCCCGGACCCGGCTCATTTTTTGTAACTTTTTTGTAGCTTTTTTGTTACGCCTGTCTCCATTTCGTTGCGAGGCCTGAACGTGAGTAATAATCGTTTCTCCATGAGCGTGAGAGAAAAGTGCGTTAATTTAAAATCAAGTTTCGGCCACTACAAGTGGTATGTGCAACTCGATAGTGTGAGTATCTGTTGCTAGATGGCACCAGTATTGCATTTCATGAATTATGGCCATCTTCCATCCAATATATTTTTGAGAAATTACGATATAATCTCAAAATCGGAAATTTTCAACGGTATGTATATTAATTATTTGTCCGATATTAATGTAAAATACATATTGACAAGATTATTAAAATAGTTGTATGCCGGACGCCACTATTTTCCCGATCGGGTGTTTTCGGTTATTTTTACTGCTAAAAACTTACTGCTAACTTCACACCGGTGGTAATAGCTACCAAGCAATTACCTATTCTCACTATATACAGGCACCCCGTATAGTTCTTATCCCATAGTAATTGGAAAAATTTCCCGAAACACGTCTGATGATTTTCTTTGGGGGACATCTTTTTGACGTATATTTGAGGCTTGAACGAGCAACCCTCTATAAGAGGGCGCTTTAGCCCCTCAAAATTAAATAGGAAAGAGGGGTTGGGTGATACTTCATTTGTAAGGTCCTGGAAGCCTCTTTACAACGGTGTATAAAAAAAATCACATTATTAAAAAAATAAATTGTTTTATCATGCTTACAATCAAAAAAATCAAAACTGCGTTTTTAAATGAAATGTTCAATTTGTCTTCCATTGACTTCCATGCAATAATAAATTCTCTCGAAGTAATAAATAAAAAAAAATCAAAACATTTTCTTATCTTGCCTTCATTTTTTGTTCTTAGAAGGTGTTTATCACGTTTCTTCGATCATTTCATATGATAAAACAATTAATTTTTTTTAAGAATGTGATTTTTTTCATACACCGTTGTAAAGAGGCTTTCAAGACCTTACAAATGATATATATCACTCATCCCTTCTTCCTTATTCCATTTTGAGGGGTTGAACCGCCCCCTCATAGGGGGTTGCTGGTTCAAGCCTCAAATATACGTCAAAAGATGTCCCCCAGAGAAAATCATCCGACTTGTTTCGGGAAATTTTTCCTATTTACTATGGGATAAGAAATATACGGGGTGGCTCGTCTGAGATGGAACACACTGTATAGTTGTGATCCGACAGAATTAAACACTGGTCCATAAATACTGCAAAACGAGTGGTTAAGGAAATCATTCAAAAAAGATGTAAGAATATTCTTGATTCAACAAAAGTATAAATACATAAACAACACTAAAAAACATTTAAAAACAAATGTCCGATTTTGAGATTATATCTAAATTTCTCAAAAATATATTGGATAGAAGATGGCCATAATTCGTGAAATGCAATACTGGTGCCATCTATCAACAGATAGTCACACTATCGAGTTGCACCTATTACTTGTAGAGGTCGAAAATTGATTTTAAATTAACGCACATTTCTATCACGCTCGTGGAGGAACGATTATTACTCACGTTCATGCCTCGCAACGAAATCGAGACAGGCGTAACAAAAAAGCTATAAAAAAGTTACAAAAAATGAGCCGAGTCCGGGCTGGTGCCGCTATAAATATCCGCTAAGCTAGCGGATCCGCGCTTTTCTCAGGTTCAGTACAAGCTACAAAAGGGAGACTAGCGTAACAAAAAAGCTACAAAAAAGTTACGAAAAACCAGCTGGGTCTGAATCTGTGCCGCTATTATGGAATTTATGGAAATTCAAGCTAGCGGATCCGCTGTTTTTTCGGACCTGGGCTAAGCTACAAATTTGCAAATAGCGTAACAAAAAAGCTACAAAAAACCCGCCAGGTCTTGAATGGTGCCGCCACAGAGTGCCCGCTAGCTTGATAGAGCCAAAGTGCTCCACGACTCACCAAAAAGTTGTTACTTTTCGGAGCAGAGGTTCCGAGAAAAAAGGAAAACAATATACATTCTTATTTTTTTAAATTCTTTTTTTTATAGACTTATTTTGTCTATTCATATTCAATATAAAAAAGATGGCATTCAAAACTTAGAAATACTTTTGTTGAAATAGAAACAGAATGAAAAATGTTAATTTTTAAGTTGTAACTCAATCGATTTCACCGTTGTGTTAAACGAAGTTTAAAATGACATTTTTACATCAACAATGTCATTTTAATCTCCGTTTAACGCAACGGTGAAATCGGCCTTAAGTGAATCCCCGATATAACTAAAGACAAAATTAATAATATCGATCATCTTCTTATTTACTTTTGCCCTGGCTGTAAAGTCTATTTGATAAGTTCTAATCAATCTTCAAGGCAAGAAAATAATTAAATGTGTTTTATACGAAATTTTTAACTCTATAATCATTAATTGATAGATAGAACAATTTTACCAAACACAGATAGTCATAAAAAACGTATCGTGAAATATGAAAATTATCTAAAAGCTGCTCCAAAAAATAGCAGTATTTTGTCACTGCTTTTTTGTTGTAGCAGAAGCGGTTGTCACTGCTTCTTAAAAATAGCTTGGTTTACCCATCTCTATAGCCAGAGCCGGTTACCATCACAAAGCATGTATCTTCTAGAGACCCCACGCCAATGTTAAACTTTTAAACCAAATTAGCGCTACCTTGTGTTTGGAGCTGGAACTAAAATGACAATTGACAGATGGCGGTAAATTCAAATTGTAATTTTTAGGAGTACGTAGTAGTTTTAAATTAAATTTTAAATGATTTCCACATAAATTATTTTATAAAATAAAGTATGGAACTAGTAAGTTCGAAACTTTTATTTTACTAAATAATTTAGGTCGATTATACCAAATTTGAAGAATTAATTTGTTATAAGGGGTCTAATGTGGAGAGTTGGTTCTGCATATTTTTATTAAATAAATATAAGATATATCAATAAATAATAAAATAGAACATTCTTAAAATATGTTTATTAATAACTTAAATAAATATTATTAGATAAAAATAAATACAAATAATAAAACATATTTAACGAATACTTACTTGGAGCAAATAGATATATAATCTCAAATCTTTAAAATACCTATCAATCATTTAAATAGAGACTAGGATATTACATTTTATTAACACTAAAGTTATATATTTTATAAATGTCTTTTTAACTGAGGACAAATGTAATATAGGTATTGTATTAAAAGGTGAATCCTTTTAACTATTCATTCAATGATAAATAGGTATTTTCCTTCCAAATACAGATGGTGATACAGATTTCGGAATCTAGTCCAGTGATAAATTGATTATCAATTAGTTGTTGTCCCCGTTTGTCTTTTTATGATGCAGATGCATGGTGAATATATGGTGAATCAATGAAGTTTTTCTCGAAGTTTTCAACGGAGCACCAAAATTATTGCAAAACACAGTAGGAAATAAAAAAGCGAAACATCACAATTTTGCAAATAACTAAGACGAAACTATAAACAGAAACCAAAAGCCAAAGCCAACAAAAAATCACTAAAATCAGACGGAAAAATGAAACTAACCAAGAACATAAATAAATACACGTCACATCTTTGGAGTCTTTGGTTAAGTTTTTCTCCCATAAGGCTTAAAAATGGAGTAAGAAATCATAATTTCACCAGTAGCCCCATCTAGAGTTTGGAGCAAATAGCATAAAAAATGTCAGTTGTCGGTTTTGACCTTGGTCATTCACGTGGAACCTCTATGTGCTTTGTGGTTACCATGCCACCAAATCTAAATGGCCATAATGTATTTTCAATTTTGTTTTTTAATCCATACATACATCAACGACTGCAGTGAAAGTCATGAAGAAAGGATAATTAGTGAAAGTTTTCAAATTCAAATATTTTATAGTTATTTATTTGGCATGTTATTTCCTACATTTATTGGATTATTTGATTTGGCTGCGTTTGGCAACATTGTGAAATATTCAGGAATATTCACAGAACTTAAAAATGAAAAAATGTTTTGTGATTGACAACGAGTATGTGTTCTGTGTTGACAACAGCCCTGATTGACAGTTATTTTTTTTAGTTTAGTTTTATCATAACCTCAATATTCAGCATGTCTGTTAGAAAAACAATAATATCAAATTGTGAAAAGAAATTCTTGTTAAAGAATTTAGCAGAATGGACAGTAGGTTACTTAATATTATTAACTTAATTCTTCTACAACAGTAATATTTTAGAGATTAGATGGAAGAGCATTTGATGAATTTAGACCAGTCAAAATAAATTTCGGAAAAGATTGGGGTTCTTGCCATGTATCTTTAGGTAAAACTAGGTAGGTAAAAAAATCGTACTTTAATACAACTGAAAAAACTAACACACTATTTAGTGTTTTAGCTCAAGTTTCATGTGAAATTCAACAACCAAAGTCTTCTAGACCAAGTGAAGGTGTATTAAACTTGAACATTGAATTAAATCCTTTAGCAGCACCACATTTTGAAGCTGGACGACAGTCAGATTTATCAGTACAGTTGAATAGGCTACTTGAAAAATGTTTAAAAGATTCAAAGGCACTCGATTTGGAGTCTTTATGCATAAAAATGAATGAAAAAGTAAGCAAAAAGTATTAAAAAACAATTACTAAACTGATTTTTTGTCCCCTTGATTTACTTTTGTATCCTAAATTATCTTAAAACAGTGTTTGAGTGCCAGAAAAAATCAGTTTTGTAAGTAGTAATTTTGTACCCATTATTTCATTTTATAAAGAAATATTTTGTTGACCCTGGCGAAAATTAACCAATTTATGGACCCTACAAGCAAATTTCATAGGGTGGAAAGTGTATACAAATACAGTCTTCAATAAAACCTCTAGGCCACATGATTTCATTAGCTGGCTAAAAGTAACATTAATAACTTCAGTTGTAATCCAAAAACAATGTTACATAATTGTTTGACAAAACTGTTACTTAAGTTGCCAAAAGTCACTAAGAACAGCAATTTTAATTAAATTTCTTGTTTTGCCAGATCACATGGAATACTGGTATTGTTGAAGATTTATTACATGTAAATGTGTGTTATCTCTGTATCTGTAAGGTGGGGGGGGGGGGGGGGGGGGGGTGGATTGCTTCACATCACTTAGGCCTCATGCGGCAAATTGTGCATCCTTCAGGGGATTATAGAACCTGCCTTTCTAAAACCTACTGGTTGACACTGAGAGATATCTAGAGACAGCCATCTTCTCAGCTCGTCAAAAATCCTGTGGGTTATTAACTCATCAAAAACCAGCTGGTTGTTGGTGGGGGGTTTCTAGGGATAGCCAGCCTCTCAGCTCAATAACGTTGCCAAGAGGTGTCTCTAGATGCCCCATTTTTTGGGAAGTGGCCATTTGGAGGGCTTCTAACATCCTGATGGTAAATGCCAATCTATCCACCCGCTCCACTTATATGTAATGAAATTCCACTTCATAAAACTTTCAATTAAAAAAGTGATTATGGTTACATACATTATAACACTTTTTACATTCTCCTTTTATTTGAAGTACTACTGACTACCACTACATCTGTTTTGGTAAAAAAATCATTTTCCTGAGAGTTTCATAAATGTGTTCAGCCTGTTTTCTGTGTTCTAACACGTTTATAAAATGTGTGTCTTGGATTGGGTATATCTGAATGTATCTGTGGCAATATTTTTAATCCCTGAATGGGTATTGGCACTGTGGCAATTGTTAATAAGGCTCCATGTTGTACTTCCTGAGCACAAAGAAGTTCTGTTCCTGATATTACTTATAATTTTTTGATTATATGGTAATTTCCAGAGTTATAGGCTGCTGTATATCTAGAAATAATTAGATTATATAGGGTAGCGAAAAAGTCTGGCAACAAGGTATTTTCTTTGAAACGAATGAATGTATAATTATGAAATTGCAGGTTGTTGAATGGGATTATATTTTGCATTTTGTAGAGGAAATGTCAATTTTTTGTGATGTCAGCGGTTAGCGTACCGCCGCCATCTTGATTTTTTTTAAATGGCAAGGTAGGTTGAGTGATATATCAGAGAAAAGCTTATTGTTCCTCTTTTCACCACATTACTAATGTATTACAGTTCCATTCATCAACCTAAAATACCTTCTTACCAAACTTTTTCACTACCCTCAGCCAAATTTTATGAATCAATGGGTGGTCAAAACTCTAAAAAGGCAAATTCACCTGTTACTGCTATCTTTCTATGATTCATCAGCGTTTCTAAATATTCGCACTTGTTTATATTTCATCATATATGATACCTTGTTACAATGGTAAGTCCTATTTACACTCAGCACTATACCCACTTGCGAATGCTTGAAAAACGAAACTACAGTAGAACCTCGATTATACGTGGGGTAAATTTTCCGTGCGGCATTTTAAATTGATCATCCGTGGCTGGCGGCCACAGGTTGGTGCATGAACGCTGTTAACCTACCATTGAGATAGAATAAAGAGGCGATACTATGACGATGCTAAAGTGTCCGCACATTTGCAATACACGTTTACGTCATATGTCAAACTCGAGCTAGAGGAGCTAGTCAGTTTTGGTGAGAATAAATGCCATTTTTTTTAAATAGATTTATTTAAATGATATAAAATCACTTTCATTCTGTCAGTCTTCAAATATAAAATTATTGACTTCAAATAAATCAAAGCACGACTCGAAGTCGTCATTTTCATTACACTTTTCTGTCACTCGAAGTGCGCCCATCTGTCTTATCGAAAAATAGTGTTTAGATCGTCTATACTTTACTCTATCTTGATGTTACCTATGGATGGCCACTCGAACATTTGATGGGCTTACATTTAATTTTGATTCTAAAAAATTTACAAAAAAATGAATTTCAATAAAATGCATGTGCCTTCTAAGATTTTCTTTTTTTGCAGTACTTCGCCATCTTCTGCTTTCTTACACCTTGGCTTCTTTCCCCTATACCTACTTATAACTGCTTCCACCCTTACTCTGCTATAATATAGTATTTTTTTCTTCAATAATGTGAAATACATTTTACCTTGTTTCTTTTTGATCTTTTTATCACAGATTTACATTTAATAATCCAATATAAATTTCAATACAAAAACCTTTCTTTTCTTTATAAATCTAGCTGACAAACATCTTTCAAATTTTTTAATTCCCGTTTGACATTTCTTTTTTCAAAATATTTTGACTTAAATAATTTTTAATTCCCAGATCATGACCAATTAAACGTTGATTAATCAATTTTGACAAAGAAAATATGTTACTAAATTAAATTTGAACCCAATATCATATCAACAAATGTATTGTACATTCAATATACTTTCTTTCATTATGTATAAATATTAAAACTTTTAATTTTTGTTTTATGTATTACGTTTCTTTTGTTCCTTTGGCATAAGTATTTGTCTAAATAAATTATTAAAAACTTAAAAATTAGGTTTTTGGATTATCTGTGTTTTCGATTATCCGGCAAATACTCGGTCCCGCCTGACCCGTATAATCGAGGTTCTACTGTAGTTGTAGCCACTGAACTTATTAAGTGAAACCGCCAAAAATATAAACGAAAGCACGCCACATAGCAGGTGATTTTTGGCAGTTTGGAGTCCACATTGTCGTATCCAAAGCAAGTAAAAGGGAACACCAAAACTAAATTAATAACTTATTAAATTCAACTGCAACACCTTTTAATTTAACAAAGTCACTTACACATTGTCTCTGATTAATATGCAGCTAAAATAAATATTCAAATAATAATAATCAAGGCTTTAATCAACTGCCAAAATTATGTAGAATCAAATTGTAAAATGTTCTAGAAATTTAGCAACAACAAAAATAGCAGAATTTTAATCAAGGTCGTGTTATATTTGGAACGACTATTTCACTGGACCAAATATCGACTATTTCTCTAGAGAAATAGTCGCTGATATTTGGTGTAGGTCATTAAAATACTATGTTATTAATAAAAAATCAAAGCAATTTATAGTAGTACGCTGGTGAACTACAACTCACTGAGCTGCAGTGAATAAGATTAATTCTTAGCAGTTTGCAATGACTCTGGAGCTAATGAGAAATGTGCCTTTAACTTAGAGCTGGGCCGGGTACTGGTAAATTGTACTTGAGTACCTTACTCATTGCATATCCTGTCAAGTACAGTACTCCGAGTAAAAGTACCCAAATTTCACGGGTACTTTTTTCAAGTACATTTACTACACTGCGCTACACTTTTACTAATTAACAGTGGTAATTTATCACCTCAAATTATATGTGGCTAAGCAAAAAAAAAACAACTATACCTAGCTATTGGGTTTTCTCCGGACTATGATAGTTGAATTTTATAGCATGAAGTAAGTCTGTTGCATTTTGTATTGACTATTTTTTAAACAGCACTATCAATCTCCTAATTTTAGTCGAAAATTTTTAGTTTATTCTCAGAAAAAGGTAAGGAGATTATCGCAATTTCTTCATTAATAACCATATTCAATTTATTAACCATAACTAACATGAGTAAAAATATACATATATTCTCCGAAATAATAGCGGCATTTTGCATTGGTGTTAGTCAAATATGCATAGACAAGTTCAGACTTCCTAGGGAGTAGAAGTGCCATTTTAGCCCCTAAAGTGCATAATACATTTTTGAGACTTGCTGTATTAAAACGTAACAATTAAACCCAACAAATTGGTAAAATAAAATGCAAAGTAGATACAAATCTGGCAAAATTATATTCTTGGAACAACTTTAGTAATGAATAAATGTCTTAAAGAAACCAGACTCATTGGTAAGCCCTTCATAATAAACTTATAAGGACATTCGTACTTTCTGTAACCAACAATGAAATTATTTTATTTGATAGTCTTGGTTAAATCGTCCATTAAAATATTACTATAAGTACATATACACGACTATAGAGACGTTGAACGGAAGGACAAGTTATAAAAGTAATTTTAGACACCTGACTCCAAAATTGTGCAGAAGCCATCACACATTGAGTTTGCTGATTTTCTCATAGATCCCATCATCAGATCTTGACATGTATATGGGACCACCCCCGAAGTACCTCCTTTCTAACAAAAAAAATCCTAGAAATCGGACAAAGTGGTAAAAAATTATCGCTGAATATACATTAAAAATGAAGAGTTTGATGATTTTCTCATTGACCCCATTATCAGATTTTGACCAAATTTATATAGGACCACCCCTAAGGTACCCACTTTCTAACAAAAAAGTCATAGAAATCGGAGAGACTGGTGAAGAATTATCGCTGAACATAAATTAAAAAAATCCAAGGAATTGAAAACCTCCTTTTTTTAAGTCGGTTTCAAATACATATAGAGGGTGTAATTAAAAAATACTTATTGACATATTAAAACCAACAGACTTACCTGTCATATACCAGATTATATAAAAAAAATTACTGGTAAATTCTAAAATTTAAACTTGCAATAGTTTTCCTCTTTTCCAATATTTTTTTACGCTCACTATAATTTAATTTCTTATAGGGAGTTGGGCCGAGTACTTTCCTTTAATTTTTTATTGGGAGTACAGGTCTACAATATTTTTGTAACTGTTGCAATTTAAAAATGTTAGACTAGAGTAATTAAGATACTG